ATTCGGAGAAGTGTAGTGTAGGGGAAAGAAAGGATTCAGGGAAGACTCTTAAGGTGTGGAGATTATTCTAGATTATCTGGGTGGACCTAGTGTAATCACAAGGGTCTTATAAGAGGGAGAAAGAAGGTTCAGAGTCAGAGAAGTTACAACAGAAGCAGAGGTTGGAATGACACACCAGGGAATGTGGGCAGCCTCTGTGTTCCAGAAGTTGGGAAAGGTGAGGCACAAATTCTCCCCTGGAGCCTCCAGAAGGACCACAAATCTGCTGACACCTTGACTTTAACCCCTTAAGACCTGTTTCAAACTTCTGGCCTGCACTACTGGAAGATAATAATTTGTGTTGTTTTAAGCCACTAAGTTTGAACAATTTGTTATAGCAGCAATAGCAAACTAATACATTTATAGCACTCCTTCCTCCATGTCCTGTTATTTTGGCCTCATCTTCTTCATTATCTACGCAAATCCCTTACTTGTTCTACCACCTCTTGCAAACTGTATTATTCACTGACTACATGATCATTCTTGAAATATTTTCTGGGGCTAGATTATCCTCTCTTTATAAACTGTCTAAGCCAAAACCATGGCTTTAATTACCATCTATCTAGAAGAAATTCCTGATCTTTATTTCAGGTTGAAATGTTGGCCATTGTTGGACCAACACCCTGGTCCAATTCACCATCATCTCTTTTCTGAATTATTGCAACAGCCTCCTAACTAGATTCCCTGCTTCCACTCTTGCCCCTCTAGTCTGTTCTCAACACAGCAATCAGTGGTCTTCTGAAAAATTAAGCCAGAAAATGTTACTCCTGCTGGAAACTATTCAAGGGAGTAAAAGCCAAAGTCCTTCTTGTTGCCCACGGAGTTTGTACATTCTGGTCCTCGTTACATCTCTGATCTTATCTTTTTATGACTCTCCTCTTACCTCACTGCACACCAGCCACACTGGCCTTTTGCTTCTTCAAACGAACAAAACATGCTTTTGCCTCAGGACCTTTGCACTGCCGATTTCCTCTGCCTAGAATACTCTCTTCCCATAGTTTTGGGCCTCTACTTAAATGGCATTTTTCCAATGAGGCCTTTACCAACTCTTTTAAAGATTGTTTCAATTGGTGACAGTCCAGCAAGTTGTATACTTATGATATTTATTATACTTACGATTTTTTTCTATAGTTACATTACAGTTAAATAATTTCTTAAAAATTAAAACCTCTCCAGCACACCATACCCCTCCTCTTTATTTGTCTTCCTGGCACTTATTTAGTATATTTTTTCTTATTTTGTTAATTGTCTCCCTTTGTTAAATATATGCTTGATGAAGGCAGGGATTTTGTCTTAATATATTTATTCACTGTAGTATCCCAGGACCTAGAAGAATCACTGGTAGGCACTCAGTATTCATTGAATAATAGAATTGAGTGAGAGTGGAGAGTTAGTTTTTAACTAGTTATGGGAAGTATGAAAGTAAGCTAACTAGAAAAAGGTCAGATGGTATTGACACCCAGTTAACACAGGTGATCACGGATTTGCAGTGCTTGGATGCGGGCTTTTTCTGCAGCACTGCTCTGCCGGAGCTCGGAGAAGGCAGAGAGTTGGATTCATCCGGGGTGGCGCTTACCCAGTGGATAAGGCGATGTGACAGGGCCAGAGAGTGACTACATAGTGTACAACGCGTCTAACGTGGATAGGGTGGAAAAGGCAGGAGGGAGCCAATGGCCAAGGAGAAAACAGGGGGGTCAGCCCTGCTGAGGGCAACTGCAGGACTGGGAGCAGTGGACAGCAGCTCTGATTGTTACGCCCAAAATACCTTTCCTTCACTTTCAGTGAGGACAAAAGTTCGTGTTCTGAAAAACAGAATCCATTCGTTTTTGTTTGCTTTCCAAAGAGAGGCATATTACCAACTTGTGGCCTTCTGGGTTATTTCCACAAGATATGGTATATCAGAGTTTGTCGGTTTCACAGCTAAGCATATGTGAAGTAGTCTCACGAGGACCATATCTGACCAACCACCACAACTTACTCTCCCTCAGTTTATATGTTCATTAGGAGGAAAGAAAGTAGCTAAGTATAAATATGTTCATGATACCAAGAGACTGAAGACTAATTTTGATGGGACAGTGGGGAAACATAATGAAGACTACTGGATGTGGTACAGCAATGGGAGCTTATATGATGCTTTTTTTCCCAAATTTAAATTGCATTGTCTCTGATTATTTGAATTGATGGAAGAGATCTGCTTTGGGTAACCAGTCATTGAATTTACTTTAAATTAAGGTCCCTTTCAGTTCTGAAATTCTGGACTGGTTTAGGAATAAGATCAAATAAAACAAAGTGAAAGCAATTTTTGGTTGCATCAGTAAAATTACCACATTGAGGTCTCCAGATCTGACAGGCTGCTTCAAGAGTAGCCACC